CCAGCCTGGCCGCGTGCCGCCGAGCTGCCTGGTCTCCCAGCTACGCGGCGCTCGCCACGGGGCGCGCGGGGCGCGGGGGGCGCGCTGGCCTCGCAGAGCTTCCCGGGTCGGCTCCGTGAGGTGGCGGCTGAAGCAGACAATGGCGCCTGGACTGCTGTGGCGCGGCTTGGCCCCTCTGTGGGGCCACTTTTTCTAAACTTTTTACCCCCCATGAGTCAACTCTTTCGACGTGCGATACAGATGGGAAAGCGCTTTCCTGGCCTGTGTTTCTCGACGCTTCTCCACAGCCCGGGAAGGTAGGTTCTACCTTCAGCCCCATGTTCCACAAGGACGTTTGCTTCCCAAACTGTGGATTTCTGTGAAACACAGCGCAGAGTTTTGGAGCTGGAGGAGCCTTAGGTTGTCCTTTCCGGGTCTCTCTCTTTTCTGGCATTTTCCCGCCGAGGTTCTCCCCTGGCATGAAGGGGGCTAGAAGTGTGAGGGGAAAACAGCAAATAGGACGGGCGGGCCTGCGCAGGGGCCTGGCCTCCTCAACCTCCTGGATTAGGTGGGTGGTTAGCATCCCCGTTTCACAGGCGAGGAAACTGAGGCGGGCGAAGGCAAGGCCACTCGCCCGTTAGGCCTCCCACCCCACCCGCCCGGGGTCCAGGGCCAGGCACCTTGTGAGCGGCGCGGAGGGCGCGGAAGGAGCAGGGGCCGGGCTGAGCTGAGCTCTGGGCCCCGGACCAGCATGGGGGATGGCCCTGCATCTAGCCCTCTCTTTCTCATTTTAAAGGGTTAAAAATGTGGATACTTTATTCTCCTTTTATTTTAACATTTATTTGTACATTTAAATGAACTAGACAAAAGAAAGCAGGTAACACATAAATGATAAAGCATGATAAAACGAAAACTTCTGAACCCCAGGACTCAACTGAAGAATTAGTAGTCATCAAGGTTTCCATAAAGTACACTATATACCTGGTAACCAGGCACATTAACTCGCTTAAGCCTCACAACACACCTGTGAGATGAGTGTTGTTGAACCCATTTTACAGATGAGAAAACTGAGACACAGACTAAGTTACTTACTTAACAGCATTGGGTTGAGACCTAGGTAGTGGCTCCAGAGCCTGTGCTCTACCTCTCATGGCACCTATAGGATACCTACCTGTGTACCTAGTCCATGCTCCTGCCTCCTCTAGGTGTAACCACTGTCATGAATATTAATGTTAATATTTGTTTTCATTAAAATAATAAAAGGCTTCTAAAACCACAAACTGGGATAAAATATCTGCAGATCATATATTCCATAAGGGACTTGTATCTAGAATATGTAAAAGGCTCTTACAACTCAATAATAAAAAGACAAATAGCTCAATTAAAAATGAGCAAAGGTGCTTGGCCAGT